GTGAAATCTAGAACAATTGAACTCATAGAAGCAGAGAGTAGAATGGTGATTACAGAGGCTGGAGGTGGGGAAAATGGGGAGATGATGGTCAAAGGGTACAAAATCTCAGCTAGCAGGAGGAATATAGCTTTTTTTGAGATCTATTGCATAACATGGTGACTACAGTTAATAATAGAGTATTGTACATTTCAAAATGGCTAAGAGAGTACATTTCAAATGTTCTCACCACAAAAAATGTTAAGTATTTGTGGTGATGGATATGTTAACTAGCTTGATTTAATTAATCCACATGATTAAAAAATCATAACATCACTTTATACCCTGTAAATATATACAGCTATAATTCGTCAATTTATTATTTAAAAAATAGAAATTAAAATAACAAATTCTTTATGTTTCATTAGGTAAAGCATCTCTCCATTTTAGGATTAGAGAAAATAAGTATAAAGATGAAACATCTTGCCTAGTGTCGAGGAGATAGTATAAGTCATTCCTTGGTATCCATGGGAAATTGTTATAGCACCCCCGCACTCCCCCATGTGATAATCCATGATTGCTCAAGTCCCTTATAGAAAATGGCACAGTATTTGCATATAGCCTACACATATCCTCCTATATTCTTTAAGTCATTTCTAGATTACTTGTAATACCTAATACAATGTAAATGCTGTGTAAATACTTGTTATGCTATATCGTGTAAGAAATATAATGGCAAAAAAAGAGTCTGTACATGTTCAGTACAGACACAACCATAATAGACCTAACTACATTTTCCATCTGCAGTCGGTTGAATCTGTGGATGAGAAACCCACAGATAAGGACGGCCTGCTGTATTTTCTTTCTGATATCTTAAGTGGGAATAGACAAGTAGTAGAATAAATTTTTTGAAAAACCTCGTGATTCACTTACGCTATGCTATTTTGGTGCTAACAAGATAACTTCACAGTGGGAAAAACCTGGAAAAGTTTTTACAAACTGACTCTTCACTTACTAGGTTGTTTTCCAGTTCATGACATTGCAGTATAATCCTATCATTTATATCACCTTTAATTTCGTTGGGTTTTCATCATTGGTATAATATTTAGAGGACTAATGATAGGGAACATATATACATATATTTATATACATCAAAATTTATTTTACCTATAAGTTTCTACTTTCTTTTCAGGTATGACAGCAGTTATCTGTACTTACCCTCTTGACATGGTTAGAGTACGCCTAGCATTCCAGGTGAAAGGGGAACACACCTATACAGGAATTATTCATGCTTTCAAAACAATTTATGCAAAGGTATTTAATATTTATCTTTCTCATCTATAGCATGTCCTTTTATATTTAGGAAAATATTTTGTATTTTGTATTGTATATATATATTGTATTGTATATATATATTGTATAAAATATTTTTTATTGTATTATTTTGTTATCTAAATAATTCTTTTATTTATACTTATTTGATAATAATTATGAAAGTACATCTTTGTACTTTCAGGGTGGGTTCTAGAACAATTTTTTCATTATTAAGTGTGGTTTTGTTCTTTGATGTTTATCATAATGAGCACAATGTAATCTCTCTTCAAATTTTCCTTCACTAAAAAGGAAGGTGGTTTCCTTGGATTTTACAGAGGCCTGATGCCTACTATATTAGGAATGGCTCCATATGCAGGTATGTTTCAAATTTGGCCAAATCCTAATTTGTGTGCTTAAAATGTGTCACCAGTTTTTTTCTGAAATGATAACATGAAAAGATACTATTGGCAAAGTACTTTTAACTAAGAAATGATGAAGAGAAAATTATGATCATACTTGGTCATACATGGTGATATCTTGTATGTAAAGATGACTATTTATGTACAGTGAATAGAAATGTACTTTTACATCTTTTTTCTTAATACCGGAGCCAGTAGTCTTGTTAACATACACTTATGTTAGATGACTGTTAAGGATTCAATTTTTATGAGCGTGCTAATTCAAGAGGTGGAAGTGGTTTTTTGGCCAAACACAGTGGCTCACACCTGTAATCCCAGCACTTTGGGAGGCCAATTTGGGAGGATTGCTTGAAGCCAGGAGTTCGAGACCCCACTTCTAAAAAAATAAACATAGCCAGCCATGGTTGTGTGCTCTAGTACTCCTAACTGTATGAGGGGCTGAGGTGGGAGGATGGCTTGAACCCAGGAGTTGGAGGTTACAATGAGCTTGAGGTTACAATGAGCTATGATCATGCCACTGCATTCCAGCCTGGGCGACACAGTGAGACCCTGCCTGTAAAAAAAAGAAGTTTTTTCCTAATTATAAATAGTGAAGACTTACGGGAAATTTTGAAAATACAGAAAAGTAGAAAGAAGCAAAATAAGGATACCTGTAGTCCTCCAATCTTACTTTGTATCTATTCCTGTTTTTTTAAAAACTAACCCTTTTTATTTTGAGGTAATTGCAAATTTACATGTAGTTGTTTCAAAATACAAAATTGCAACAAATTTGGTTTCATGATCTCAGCTGACTTTATTTGCAGTTCTAGAATTCCATAAAATAGAGTAAGTGTTCCAATGAGTTGAACAGAGAAAGTTGATTTTATAGACAGAAAGGGCTGAAGAAAGCAGAAACAAAGATTTGTCATTTCAAAGTTACTTTCCTTGTAAGGTGGGGACAGGGAGACAGAATAATAGAAATAATAGATAGAATAATAGAAAAATAATTAATTGGTTAACTTCTGGTTATGTTAGGCTACTTTTTTGGTGTAAAGTTTACAGCAGAGGGAACTTTATTATCAAGCCTATGAAAGATTGAAAGCCCTGTTTGGGAAATTGGCTGTTATCTCTCTGTCCTGATTTCTCAGAAGGCCAGATAACAGCTAAGTTTTAGTTTGATGTTATAAAACTTTAGTATGGGTGACTCCATTTTGATTTTTAGTCTGGTCTGTTGGGGTCTACTGCAGGAGCTTAGTCCAAAACAATGGCCTCCTGTGATTTTCATTTACCAGTTGAAAGAAATAATGCAAAGTGATCCCGTGTACTCTTTTATCCAGTTTCCCCAGTGGTAATGTCTTACAAAACTATCGTACTATATCATAGCTAGGCTATTGACAATACAGTCAAGATACAGAATAGTATCCATCCCGCTGACTCTAATAGGCATACCCTACACCTTTCCCTAACTCCTGACAACCACTAATCTGTTTTTCAGTTCTATAATTTTGTCATTTTAAGAATTTTTATATGGAACCTGGGTGCAGTGGCTCACTCCTATAATCCCAGCAATTTGGGAGGTGGAGGTGGAAAGCTTGACTGAGACCCGGAGTTCAAGACCAGGGAACCCGTCTCTATTAAAAAAATAAAACTTAGCCACGCGTGACGGCACGTGCCTATAGTCCCGGCTACTTGGGAGGCTGAGGCAGGAGGGTCCCTCTAGCCCAAGAGTTCAATGTTACAGTGAGCTGCGATCACACCACTATACTCAGCCTGGGCCACAAAGTGAAACCCTGTCTCTAAAAAAAAAAAAAAAAAAAAATTATCATACTAGGTACAGTGGCTCACACCTGTAATCCCAATACTTTAGGAGGTTGAGGTGGGAAGATCACTTGAGACCAGGAGTTCTCTGAGCAACATGTGGCTCTTGCCTCTGGCCCCAGCTACTACAGAGACTGAGGCAGGAGGATCACTTGAGCCCAGAAGTTTGAGGTTGCAGTGAGCTATGATGACGTCACTGCTCTCTAGCCTTGGGCAACAGAACGAGACTCTGTCTCAAAAAAAAAAAAAATTATAAATAGTATCTATGCTATGTGGCCTTTAGGGATTAACTTTTTTCTCTTAGCATAATTTCCTGGCAATTCATTCTAGTTTTGTGTATCAATAATTTGTTCTTTTTAATTGTTGAGTATTGCTCCATAATATGAAAGTATCAGTACTTTTTGTTTCTTGGATTCATTATATTTTAAAGATTTATTCATGTTGTGTATAACTGTTCGTTCATTTGTCCAATTGTGTGTGTATCCTGCTTCAGGAGTTTTTCTAGAGTATATATGTAGGAGTAGAATTACTAGGTTATAAGTTAAATGTATATTCAGTTTTATTAGATAAGATCAAGTTGATTGAAAGTAGTTGTATCCATTTATAATTCTGCCAGCAGTGGTTAACGATAATCATTGGTATTAGCTGACTTTTAAATTTTTGTGAATTTTATTGGATATAAAAAGTAATTTATAAGCCTGGTATGCTGGCTTGTGCCTGTCATGCCAGCTACTCTGGAGGCTGAAGTGGGAGGTGACTGGCCAGGGCGATATAGTGTGACAACGTCTCAAAAAAAGGAAAAAAAGTAACTTATAAGGTCGTATTTTGCATTTCTCTCATTACTAATAAGGTTGAGCACCTTTTAGTATGTTTATTTACCAATTACATTTTCTGTGCAGTACCTACTTAAGTGTTTGGCCTACTTTTCTACTGAGGTGTTTGTCTTTTTCTTATTGATTTGTATTTATGTAATTTCATTATCAATCGCTTGCTATTTATATGTTGAAAATATCTTTCCCTTGTTTATGGCTTGGGTTTTTCATTTCTTTGTAGTGTCTTTTAATGAACAAAAATTCTAATTTTTTGGATTACAGCTTTATTGAGATATAATTCACATATCATATAATTTATTCCTGTAAGTGTATAATTAAATGGTTTTTCATATATTCACAGAGTCTTACAAATTTCACCACAGTTAATTTGAGAACGTTTTTATTATCCCCAAAAGAAACCCTACAGCTTTAATGATCATCCCCTTGTCCCCAAAAGAAACCCTACACCTTTAATGATCATCCCCTTGTCCTAAGTAACCACTAATCTTTCCCTTTGTATAGATTTGCCTATTCTAGACATTTCATATAAATGGAATCATATGTGGTCTTTTGCGACTAACTTCTTTCACTTAGCATAATGTTTTAAAGTTCACCCATGTTGTAGCGTGTATCAGTACTTCCATTCCTTTTTTTTTCTTTTTTATAATTTTTTTTAAAGACTAAAGTGCAGTAGTGAGGAGGGCGGAAAGTAGTTGAACAACGAGTTCATTCTCTGACTGTGAACAATCAAATGAGATAAGTCACTACCTTCGGACCAGCCCTTTTCCATTCCTTTTTATAGCCAAATGGTATTCCATTATATGAATATGCCACATTTTGTTTGTTCATTAGTTGACGGACATTTGGGTTGTTTCTACTTTTTGGCTAATATAAATAATGCTGCTGTGAACATTTATATACAAGTTTTTGTGTGGATGTATGTTTTCATTTCTCTTGGATATGTTTCTAGAAGTGGAATTGCTCGGTCAAATGGTAACTACGTTTAACATTTTGAGGAACCGCCAAACCCTTTTCCTAGCAACTGCATCATTTTACATTCCCACCAGCAGTATATGAAGGTTCCAATTTCTCTGTATCTTTGCCAACAGTTATTATCTTTTTTATTAACTCAAATCCTTCCACTTCTGGAAACACTTTTATCTGACTTTTGGTTATAGCCATCCTACTGGTGTGAAGTGGTATCTCACTGTGGTTCTGAACTTCATTCCTTTTTTTTTTTT